CACATGCGGCGCACGGCGGCGCTCGCGCCCAGACGGCGGCGCGCCGGAGAGCAGGCGGTACGCCCAGGCCGCGCCGCCCCCCCGGGCTCACGCGGCACGGAGCAGAAACGGAACGATGGAAATCAACGCACTTCGAAAAACGCTAGCTACAACAAATGTCAATAATCCCAATTAATTGGGACCAAACCTTTTCTGGATTATCATTTGTCCGATTTTCAAAATGAAACAATAGAACGGGCGGTAGATCAATTCAATGATAAACGTCTTGTTAAAATAATTCATTATTCACGCTGATGGTTGCAGAAGATGTAGTACGGTAAAGATAGTCTTATATGTATAGTAAATCTCCTACAACAAAATAAAATATGTATAGTAAAGTACAGTAGTACTAATTTACTTCAATCAAAATTTTTAATAAAATTATTAAGTCGTCTCTACGTCTTTAAACACATACATACACACAGCATACATAATATTCATTTCATACGATTTTTTACCACAACCGAATGAGGATTATCAACCATCCGGATTTATGACGTTCGAATTATCGACACTCTACTGTCATTTCATTAGAGAAGAAAAGGCGAGAATGACAGATTTTCCCCAATTAAATATATGTACTTTATGGATTGGCGAGGGCACTTCAATCTCAACAGAAAACATGCTCTTTGCTTTCTTCATACTTGCATTGATTTGGAGTGAGCGGAACGACACGATAATTGCGTGCAACGAAATATTTTGTTTTCTCACGGAATAGACTGGGTGATTTTATTATTGACCATTCGTAAATGTCATTCGGATTTGAGCAAAGTGATTAAAAAGGAATTTTCAGCATTCGTGTATGGAAAAAAGTACTTGCCTTCACAGTTTATGAATTGGAAATTGTTGCCTTGGCGCACGCTTACAACGAATTCGACTGTGCCGTAAACGTACCGTAAAGAAGTGGCGATGTAAAACCACCGGGAAATTAAAATAAACATTTAGGGAAGTGAATCAACAAGCCTGTCTCTTCGCAAATAGAGAATGATTCCATATAAATGTACAAGAATTCGTACTAAAAAAAGAACGTACATAACTCGTAAGAAATTGGGTTTGGCTTACTAATTTCAAAATGACGGCCTCAGCTCGTATCGTCGCATCCGTCGCCAAAGAAATACTTTCTGTAATAGTTACAAAATAACTATAGCAGAATTTTCTTACGCACATTTCCGATGGTTCTACAGAAGAAATGTAGATAGTATTATTAAAATTAGCTTCAAAAATCGAGCGTCGAACTGACAAAAATGTCACTCGTATTAGCAAAACTTCAGTAGGTTGAACCACTTCCTTATAATTTATTTTAAAACAGTATTATACTATCAGAGTTTTTCCATTGTTATTAATAGTGATTTGAAGTTGTTTTCTATCACGAGAGTCGTTCGAAAAGGAAAATTCGACGAGAACAGGCATAACAGCCGCTAAGTGGCTGTTTGAAGCAGTTTCACGACCGTGGGGTGGCGGGGGTGGGGCAAGGTCGGCGGGGAGGAAGCGGAGGGGAGGGGCAGTCGGCGGCGGCGACGGCGCGAGCGTGTCGCATTGCGAGGCTTGGGGAAAGGGAGTGACGAGGGAGTCGAGAGGAAGGTACAACGGGGTGTTCAGCGGGGCACCGGGAGCTGGGAGAAGGCGATTTTCCTCAGCCCTCGACAACCTCACGCACCGAGGGAAGCAAGGTGGGTCGGGTGAAGCTACCCTCCCCACTCCCCCTGCGACTCTCCCGATACCCTTCCTTCGCCTCACCGCCTCCGCTGCCGCCGCCGCCGCCGCCGCCGCCGCCGCCGCCGCCGCCGCCACCGCAGCCGCACGCACACAACACAGGCGAAAGTTGGCTAAGTACCGTGTCTGGAGGCCACAGGTTTGTAAGTAGGCCTGTAAGACATTCCAATGTTGCATCGTCTCGCCCCGCAACCGCCTCCATCGCTGCCTCTGCTGCCGCAGTCGCATCACCGCAGCCTCAGTCAACATTGACAGTGCTTCTGGAACCGCCCAGCGAGGCGGCGCATAACATCTTCAACTCTTTCGCCGATACCTGTAACAATGGTAAACGGGAATATAAAACTATAGTCTTTGTAGTCAAGCTCTTGATAGTTTTTATATTTACATTTCAACATCTTGCTTGGGTTTACTTTTTATTTTCAATCCCCAATTTTAACAAAAGAAATTAATATAATTGAAATTAAAGTGTATATATTGTGGAATGCCAAACTTTAAAATGTGCATTAATAAACAATATCACAACAAACAATCAATCCATGTTAAACAAGTAATCATTTAATTTAGTATGTCATATTAATAGATCTCCAAATGATTAATAGTTCTCTCTCTAACGTTAGTTATTTTAATTTTGTTTCAAAAGAAAGAATACTTAAAGAGTTATTATAAAATGAAATGATACGAGTATGATAACATATTGAAAATTGAGTGAATAGTTTCAAAGTTCATCAACAATTTTATATGAATTTTAGAGACAATTCTAAGAAATCGTTGCAAAAATTTGAATTTAGTATTATGAGAAGGTAAATATGTGTTTTTCACAACCAATGTTGGAAACCAATAATGGTAAATTTTCCAGCTTTTTTATTTTGAATAATTTTTCTGTTCGCTTTAACTTTTGCTTCTTATTGAGGAAATATGGTAGCTGTAACGCAGTAACTATAAATAAACAATTCGTTTCTCTCAGAATTACATTCGTATACATTTTTTATTTCAATAATCAGAATTTTCATCAAAATAGTGTGAGAACGAAGGATTTTTAAAAGGTCTGAATGTTTCGAATACAAAGTAATAACATAGAGAAAAAAGACCTGCTACCGAATTGTGAGATCATTTGTTAGATATACAGAATCTAACGATATATTCTGAAAATTGAATTGTATAGTGAAACTTGAATTCTGAATAGTGTTTGTTAACTCTACACTATTCTTAACAAACATCAGAAACAAACATATTATGAATAATTCGTTCAAGAATTGACAAGTACGCTAACAGGAAATTTTAGAACAATTCAAGATATGAAAGAAAGTTTTAATTTTTATTTTAATTTATTTTTATTTTTTGTCGCAACCATCACTGTATTAACCACTATTAACGATACAAACACAAAAGAATAAGCACTAAAAATGAACATTGCGTTACAATAAATATACGCATATACACACACAAATAATTTTTTTTAACAGATCCTGACCGGTGTTTGGTGGCATCTAATACGTACGGTACTTCCAAACACATTGTGATTCAAAATATAACACTGATTCAATTTTAAAACTTGATTTCGAAAAATACTGTGAAGTCGAAATTATGAATAGTTCGCGAAGACTGATCGAAAAAGATACATGTTAATTTAAAAACAGTGAAATCTTGTAGGTCTATCATGAATGAAACAAGAAATAGGTTCTAATATTTCGAGTTTTCGAGGTTTCAACGCTGTTAGAAGCAGGTGAAGGGAAAGAAAAATAAAAGATACGAAGTACGTTGATAATTAGGTATTCGAATTATCAAGGTTCTACTGCCCTTCCCACGAGATGGTGGGTAAACGAGAAAACAGGAGAGCAGGTGACATGCTGGCATGTGCGAGATAGTAAGAAGGAAAGCATGGGCGGGGAATTCCCGGAGGATGGCGGGCCCACGGAGACAGGAGCCAGTGGCGGGAGGCGGCGGGCGAGGCGGCGCGCGCCCGTTTATTAGCAGAGCAGCGCGAACGAGCGGGCGCCGTAGATTTGGAGCAGATCGGGGCGTATCAGCGGGGCTCCACGGCCTGCCCCGGCCGGACCCCGCCGGACCCCACCGGGACCCCCCGGC